TGATTTTTTAAATGGTTGTCTTTAAGTTAGTTTTTTTCATTTCTGGCATGAATTCATGTTTAATGCATGTAAATAAAATTAATCTTGTCCACCATTTCAGAATGTATTAGGACTTGTTGTTATCAAATGACTGACTGGCTCATCCTTAATAAAACTCTTTGTATTGAAGGGCTCACATTAGTTCAGGCAGAATTAAGTGAGTTGCAAATTTATTTAACTTGCAAAGCGGTTCAGATAAACCATTGGCTATCACTGTAGATGAAAACTTCATTTGTACATGTGTACATTGTACAACCAAAAACAGTTCTAGTGTTGTTGAACACACTTGGTCATTTACCATTTATTCACAAAAACCCAATTTATCCAAAGAGACTAGCACTAGTTCGACCAGATCATGATTCCAAGAAATTGCAAATGGTCAGCACACTTCAACTCAGATAATTATTTCTGTTGGAAATTTTGGGCTACCTATCAAGATGTTCCATTTATCTCAAAAATTTTCTAGTCGGCCAAGCCAAAATTGTCAGTTATTGCATATGTTCTGATCGAAATTTCCAAAATCATGGTAAACAACCAAAGTCTGTTCCACCTATGTGACAAAATGCTACATGTACATGCACTGCACATTGATGAAAACGTTATTTAGAATGCTGGTAACTTCTACTGTAGGAATAAAGATACACAAACTCAGAGTTCCCTTACCTTACTATCCCACTGGTATTCTTTAAAGTCTGTGCAGCAAACTGCTGTGTTACTCCAACAAGAGAAATTCCATCCACCTCAATAATCTGATCATTTACCTGTATTCTGTAATTAAATGATTGACAATGATCACTACATGCACAGTACTTCCTGCACTGTAGCTAGTTTAACAAGAAACGTTGGCCACCCGAAAAATTAGTCTTTCCTTGATTACTGTACCTTCAATGTCTTGATCGACATAAAAAAGCATTCAGCCTTTCACAACTTACTATTCATTCTAAATTCACTACCTTCTAGCCCTGCTACCCAAAATCATAATGAAGCTCCTGTACTCTGCAGCAAATGAAAATGTTTTCCATGTCAGCAAGCAGGGAAATATTTAGTCTCTCTGCAGCTGTTTTTGAGATCTCGCACAATGCTTCCCGAGCCACATTCCTTTCCCAGAAATGCAGAGCTTGATGTTGGGACTACTAGGGTTGCCAATGCAACCACATTTTTTTCACTGGCGACTTACTTTCCACGCTTTTCACTAAAATACTTTTGCTGGCAACTAAATCTGCAAACTTAGGGGCCACCAGGCTCCAAGGTTTTTTCCTGAAAGTCGAGCCCTGATATATTTTGAAAATCTTTGAAATTTATAAATCAACAATCTTTCATTGCTTCACACTGTGACCTTAATGGGTAGAGTGCTGGACTCTTTTAGACTAACCTTCCATCCAATGCCGCTGCCCCACCCTCTGTGAGTGACTTGACAAAAATCCCCAGCTTCTCCACCCCTGTGTCTGTACCAACACCAAGGCCTATGATGCTCAACCCCAGCCCTCTCTCATCTGAAGGAAAACCAAAACAATATCAAATGAAGCCTCACATTAAAACCGCTCCTAATACCATTATTATATGACATGTACATGTTCAGTCCTTCTCAAGATGCTTGTTTGCTTTTTAAAAACAAAAGTCCAAATGTTTTAAGTCAATATAACAGGAGGAGAGCAGGAAAAAAAAATTGATATCCTGTTGCCCAGTGGATATCAAATTAAGTCACCCTTGGCAAAATGAACTGCATTGAAGAGACACTTTCATGACCTTTCAGAAAATGTGTAAATGTCTACAGTTTAGGCCAAAATATCGCATTTGAAGTTTCTTTTAGTAGACAAGCATTTTCAGTTATAACAGTGTGGCACACAATGGTCTGCCACTCAAGGGGTTAAGTACACTATGGTCCTTGTATTTAAATTGGTCAAGTGCAAACACAGCATAAGACGTTAACAGCTGTACACACTTCATTTAAAATTAAACATCTTACCTTTTCCTAGGTCTACAGAAAAAATGTCCATCTTTTCAATTCTTTTCTCTAGCTCCCATTCAGCCGATGCAGTAACAGGATCAATGTTATCGTTAGCTCTGTCATATTCTTCAGCACTGTATGTTGGAAACATTTTGTTGGTGTCCACAGCAAATCCAACTGATCTTTTCCCCTTTTTCTCCTTTTCTTTAGCTGCTAAAGCTGATGTTAATGGCTTGGCTGTAAACAGCAGTGACACAGGAGACACTGCTTGGGTGTGAGCACAATCTTCATCTACATCGCTGTGTTCCACAACACTACCAGTACTCTCATCACCTGAGCTTTCAGTTTCTTCATTACGTGAGGGGGTTTCTTCACTTTTACGATCATGGAAGTAAACACTGTCATGCTTTGGGTGAGAAAGAGCTTCTTGCATTTTATTCTCTTCCTGAGGTTTTGAATCAGGTCGTGCCGTGAAATCATATTGAGCGTTAGGTACCGATTCTAGCTGCGCAGATTCTTCTTGTGGAATCTCTTCATCTTTCCAAGATGCTTCGCGTACCCTTCCAGGGGTTTCATCAAAGAAGTCGTCTTTGGGTACCTCCTTTCGTTGAAACCTCAGTCCTGTCTTAACACTGGGAGATTCATCCTGATTAACAGACTTCACAGCTGTTTTAGCTTGATCATCCTCAGGAGACAGAGGTAATTTTTCTTCTTTTTGATTATTTGTGGATGAAAGTGGTTGACTGGTTAAACTTTCAACATTTTTCTCTGACTCTTTATCAGGTGTTAGCAATGAGCCCTGTATCATGTGATCAACGCTATGTGACTTAAAAAGGCGCCTGCTGTAAGCTGGTGGATTGTGCAAAACCGAGTCATCGTGAGAGCGGCCCAGCTTGTCAACTGTTCCATGATACTCTCCATTCATGGCTTTAGTATCAGAAAGATAGCGTTTGCGTGATTTTATGAAGTACATGGGCCGCTTCGTGCCTGGATCAGATCGTGTGCGAGATCTTGGTGAAGAAAACTGTTCATTTTTGCCTAGCGAGTTGATGTCCAGATCTTTCAAATCTGGGACAAGATCAAGCAAACTTGGCGATCTCTTTTCCTTCCGTGACACATCTTCATTTGAGCCGCCACTTTCAAACATTGCTCTTCTTGCTGCAATACCCTGAGACACATGTGGCTTGTGATTAGGGGTGGGAGGTAAAGTTTTCTTGTAATAATTAGGCAAGGACCAGGGTCTTCCTGGTGACTCAGCTTGAGTTGCCTCATTACCATGATCCAACTTCAAGCGATCAATGGCTTCTGAAATAGGTCTGGGCTTTCTGAAATTCTGTTGTGCCTTGATTGTCTCATTTGCAATTGTCTCGTCAAAAATGTGTTTCAACTTGCTAACATTCGGTTTGCTTTCCTCTTCTGTATTGCTCTTACTGTTATCAATCGCCGGTTCGCTCTCCGCTGCGGGTTTTCGCGGGACGCGAGGTTTCTCTTCGCGGGTCTTACGTGCAACATTGTCGCTTTTCAGGGGAGAGATAAAAGCTTTATCAGCCGAAATTACCTTCTTAGGAGGAGCGCCAAATTTGTTGTACGCTTTGTGTTTCTCCTCCTTAATGTCTCCAGTGCCTGGACTGCCTGTTGTCCGTTTTGTTTTAGTGTCAATAATATTTTTGCGAGTAACTATTGTTGAGCTTTGACTCTTAGTGTTTTCACTATCACCTTTCGTGCGACTTTGCACCTCTTTTCGAGCTCGAAATCTGTTCTCTTTGCCGTATTCGGTTCTTGTGGCCATCGCAGAGAGGCTGTTTCCGGATTCTTTATAAGCTTCTTTCGCCAGAAAGCGTCAAATTTGTAGTGTTCGCTGCTTAAATGTACAAACTCAAAGCATTGTGTTCGTAAAACACCGACAGAAGACTCCTAAAGACTAATGACAATTCAACAAAACGCACTAACGGCTCAGGTCTTAACCTACCGTTCTAGTTTTCCTAAATCGCAGAAACGTTCGAGGAAGCTGGTACAATATTCGTCCTTGAATTCACGCCATTACAAGTTCTATATACCAACAAAAAATGGCCGCCAAATTAGCTCAGTAAAGTCCATGCCAAGAGTAATCGTTGTCGTTTCAAATTGCCATGCTTGTGTAGACTCGGCTCAAGAACAAAAAGGCAAGTCTGAAATGGTAAACTTGCCAAAACTGCCTTGACACTCGTCGCCGACAACCAACTTCTACCTCGCAGGAAGCGAAGTTTTTTTCGTAAACGATGGAAGTATTCGGCCGTGACAAAATCGATCACGTGATCTAGAATAAATATAGCAGGAAGTTGGAGTGAAGCGGGTTATGAAAGTGAATGTAAATGACTTGGAATTTAAATTCCTCGGGAAAAATATTTGCTCAAGTTTCAGAAACTAGTCAGAAATAATCGATGATGCACAAACAAACTCGGCATATCTTTAAGGGGCTGGTTGTCCAAGCGTATAATTAATCTTCTCGTACATTAGCATAAGAGCACGAAACTTGCCAAATGCAATTTCGGCAACAAATGTTAATTGACCGAGGCAGGCATTGTATACAAACACAATAACTTCTGAACTTCATTTTAAATGGTTCTATAGCCTTGTAACCCGCTAAGGCCAGACAATTAGAGCGGAACAAGGAAAAAGAAGGAGATTTAAAATGTTTGCAAACACATGATGTTTTACAACGGATTAGTATCAATTTGCATATAGAATAGCTTGGCCCGTTTTACTACATATTTCAGGTAAAATCAAAACAGGTGTTAAAGATTATATAAAAAGGAAATTGACCATTTGTGCATTATTATTTAATGCTTGGTTAGAAAAGAGTGAGAATATGAGATTTTTTGTGCTCTTCGCATTTTCATTGTGTTAGTTTTTCGCTTGAATTCTATCATTCAGTTGCGCTTAGAATTTGCAGAAATCTTGTCCAAACAGGGTATCCATGTTAAAAATGTAAATAAAGAAATAACTTAAAAATAAAGTGTATCATAATAAACAAAAAAAATAGCTGGGTATAAGGCGGTTTCTAAGATCTGTGAAAAGAGAAATTTAATAGTGAAAAAGAAGTTTGATAGTGTTTTATTTTGTTTTTGCCGCACGTCAATTCATAAATCTTCATATTTTCCAATATTGTCTTTAATTAAGGAGTGGTATGTTCAATTTAACTCTCTCAATTAAAAATAACTAGACCTTGGAACTTAAATTAATTTTTCACTGTTCTACGGTTTACAAATCTCACATTCTGAAAAACGTGCTAAATCCGAACAAATGTCAAGCGCTATTTGAACAGGAAATTTAGAGCATTTCCAAAGATTTCTTCAGCTCTTAGCAGTTAAGCTGTTGGTCGAGCGAACATTGAGGCTAGAGAACAAAAAATCGACGGAGTGGGGGTGGGGATTGAATAAAGGCTCTCTGGCTCGCGCGGGAACGCTTGCCACGTAGGTCATACAGCAGCCGTTGGATATCATCCATCATATCAGTTACCATGCCCTACAAGCATGGTTGGTAAAAATGGCCTATCAGTATTTTGTTTGTCTTTGTTTTTACAAAATAAGCCAAATATTTTTTCTCGAGATTTCATGCAACTCGGTTTGCTTTGAGAGGAAACGCGACTAATTAAACCGGCTACTACCAGGAGCAATCTCCCTCCTCCCTCCCCCTTCTTCCGCCGGAACCATGAATCCCCGCTTACAGACATTACAGACAAGCGTGTCAATAGGAGAGGCCTCCACACGGGCTATTTGGGGTTTGTTTTGAATAGAAATATTTTCATTTCAGGAGAAAAACGTTTCGAGATTCATCTGACTACAGCTATCGCTATAGCCCAGTTTTTGTTTTGGAACATTAGGGCAAATGCTGTTGAAACTCCCCATTATGGTGTCAAAATTTTGAAATTTTTTTAAGAAAAAAAAGAGAAAAAAAGTGGTAGTGGTCAGGTAATTAAAATACTATGTTATATTGCTATTTTGTAGATTGAAAGATGGTGGAGGGAATTGCACGAAAGGATGGAGAGGTATTTTAAAGATGGTTTGCGTTGGCTAAAAGATCAAGGTCATTATGACCCACACAATGACTCTGATAGGTATGTACAATAATTTGGATCTGAAGCAGTTATCTTCTGAACCTTTTTGTACCTCTCGCTGTATATCATTGAAAGGAATGTCATGTACTTCTTGACATAATTTACTGTATTTGCATACAGAAGTATCCTGTCATGACTGCTTTCAACATCATATTTAATGTTTTGGCAGATTGCTCTTGGCCTTCATCATGGTACCTCTCATACAGAAGGAGTTAGATATTTTCAGAGAAACAGTGTGGAACACACACAGGATCAGAGCACAGAGAGACACTGCACTTCCAGATGGTATACCAGACCACATCTATAACTTCCCTGAGAATTATGGGCTTGAAGAGTGTGGTATGTGCCATAGTATCCTGTGCATTATAAATGAATTTACAATGTGGATCCAGTACTTTCATTCAAGAAATTAATAGTTCACATTACACATCATCAGCAATCTCAGGGGTTATTACGACTGGCAGTCTTTTATTTCTTGTTCCCTATGAAATCCCCATGACAACTAAGTATATAAGATCTTGATCCAAAGGCAAAATTCCTTTTGGTGGTTGTTCAATGGTACACTGTATGTACATAATA